TATATGTATATGTATATGTATAAGCATATATAAACATGGATCTCTATATAAAGTCTTCAGATGTATTGGTCTTATATAGAATTGCACAATTATTCATTTTACTAAATAATAGGATTATACATCTCCAATGTAGAAGCTTTATAACCTGGTTCAAGAAATATTGTGATAAATAATGCTTATCTCAGTAAAAATGAGATATTAGAGGCCCATGTCTATAAGACAGAGGTTCTACCAGTCTTAAGACCATCTTACACTGAAGAATTTACACATATTTATACACACAGGAAGAAACCCTGAAACTGAAAACAACAGAACTATATGAAATACAAAATACTGTTAAAGGAAAAAATATAAACAATATCCACACTTCTAACTAGGTCCCAACTGTCACACTCCTGAAAATTCTTACGTTTTGTCTAAATTTATGTAAATAGTTCCATATGTTACATGATGACTACAAGAGGTACAGGGGCTCTGATTATCAGAAAAATACCAATGCTACTTACTGCAATTGTTTCTTTAGAAAACTTAGCTGTTAAAACTAGCCAAGTCATGAGTTTGTTGTTCTGTGTATTAAAACAGATCCCCTGTCGATCCCTGCCCCCCACCCCCCCTGCCCCATTGCTTAAGAACACAGACCCTGGAGCCATATTGCTGGAATCAAACCCTGGCTTTATCATTTCCTCATGTGGTTTTCTGATTCCTCACCTATAAAACAGACATGGTAATGGAATCTTTCTCATGTGATCACCGTGAAGATTAAATGAATTAATATATGCAAAGTGCTTAGAATACTGTTTGTCAAACAGTAAACCCTGCATGTTCTGGTTCTTATTACTGCTTTCAATAAGTAGTTTTTAACTGCACACAGACACATTGTAAATCATTTCCCAGTGAGTGTTTAACTCCCAGGCACTATAGGGAGACCAAAAAACAATAAATGGTGGTCATCAAATGGAGATACTATAGCACTCTCTTATAACAGATTTTAGATGAAAAAATGCTTAATCTTTGCCAACAATGTTTCATCGGCATCAGAAGAGCCACATAATCAGATTTAACCAGGCAAAATGAAATTATTGAAACCTGATGCTCCTGCAGTATTAAGAAAAAAAAAAAAGATGATCTAAGATTTAATAAATGAAACCTTCTCGGTTTTAGTGACTTTTGCTAAGAAGCTCGGAGTACTTTACAAATATTCTAATTAACCTTTGGCATATTCATTGAAATAAGAGGCATTCACTGCTTCTATTTTTTTTAATATGTATTATTTAAAATGATTTAGCAGGCTGAGACTACAGAAGATTTAGAAGTGCAAAAGTATCCAGACTATCATTCGAACAGTTCCATTTAAGAATTATTAAGACTTGTGGGGTGCCTGGGAGGCTCAGTCGGTTAAGCATCCGACTTCAGCTCGGGTCATAATCTCACAGTCTGTGAGTTCGAGCCCCATGTTGGGTTCTGTGCTGACAGTTCAGAGCCTGGAGCCTGTTTCAGATTCTGTATCTCCCTCTCTCTCTGCCCCTCCCCTGCTCATGCTTGGTCTCTGTCTCAAAAATAAATAAAAACATTGAAAAAAATAAAAATAAATTAAAAAAAATTATTAAGACTTGTGTCTTAAAAATGGAAAATGTATTAAAAAGGAATAAATCTAATGGCTATCAAAATGGTACTTTTTGACCTAATAAAAAATAAACATTACAAAACAGGGTATGACAATGGCCAGAACTCGGGGGTAAAGAGGAAAGAGATCCTAATTCTGTGCTTGTTCTTTCACTAACTAAATGTGACCTTCTGTGTGTCTCCAAAGTCAGGACCTGAGTTAAATAATACAAAGGAGTTGGTCCAGAGAGTAGAACATGGAGGTTAAAGAATCCTGAAGGCAAACTGTGCCAATCAAGCAGTTCTTCTTGTAGATTTCTAGTGGTAGAAAACTGACTGTGTCCTAAGGTGTTAGGGCCAACTACAGATATTTCTAGCAGTTGAAAAGGTTTTTATGTAGCCACATTTTGGGTCTTCCCATATCTCTAAGCTCCCCAGCTTCTCAAATAGTCTACAATTCCAAATGTGGAATACAATGGAGCCCCATAACAGCAAAATTGCTAAATGATGAAAGAGAATTTTAAATGGAAGCAGAAGGGTGCTATTCTCTGCTACATTTTGTTTACCATCATTAAGCACCAGCAAGAATAACAAGAGGGGGTTAGAGGAATTGTAGAATGTTTCCTGTACCTTCAACTTGACCAAGTGCTCTACCAAATGGTAGTTTTCTTACTGAGAAGAAGGTTTTGCCTTCGATGCTTCAAAGGAGTCCATGCCAGCTAGACTTCCCCTCTAGCACCCCAGGGACTTCATATCAGGAATAACCTTCTACTCTGAGAAGGAAGAAGTAGTTGTGGTTGAATTAGATCCATGACCTCTGGCTCCATAGAGAAGACTACTCATATTGTGGTATGAAGAGCATGCTAACTTAGGGAACATTGTGTTACCAAGGTGTGACGAGATAAGAAAAGAAATAAAGAGTTTATAAGTTGTGTAGTTCATGGATATTGTGATGGCACCAAGTACATGATCAGCAGATACTTGTCCTTGAGGGCTGTTGAGTGCTGTTAATAAGCCACATGTTTTACAAGCTGTATGCTAATCACAAGTAGTAAGACCACAGATAGGTCTGTCATGTATTGAAAAGTTAGACAACCCCCACGCAGATAATTTGAGAACCACACCTGATAAGGCTCAATAACAGGCTTGTAGGTTTTGAGTTGAATCTTTTCATCTCCTTCCATGATCTTCAACTCCTAGGCTCCCAACACTTGTCCATTTACCATAAATGAACCAATCATTTACTTTGTTTTGTCCTCAACTTCCCTAGGCTAAAAATCCAGTTTTCTATTTACAACATTCATTTTTAATAAAATTTAAACATGATAAAAAAATAGATGTTTTATGGGATTTTTTATATGGAGGCTGACTCCAAGTTTGTGTTAACATGAAACAAAATAGCAAGCTACTTCAGAGAATAATATGAGTTTATGAATTTAAGCTATATTGTCATATGTAGAGCAAATGAAATTAAATTCATTCTCAGAAGAAATTTTGTAATAAGGATATCCACCTTCCCAAGATCATTACAGTCCAGTGGAAAGAACATCTAATTTAAGATGTTGGGAGTCCTGGGTTCCAGTATCAGCCCTGACACTAACTAGTTCTGTGACTTTCATGAAGTCTCTAAAGCTTCTACATCAAAATTTTCTCCTCTCTGAAAATGGCGGTTTGAATGAGCCAATTTCTAAAGTCTCTGACAATTTTAAAATTTCATACTTCTAAGAAAATTATTTTCCCTTAAAGTAGTTCCCTGATGGAGGAATAATTTTCCCAGATGTGTATTTACTGCCGAAAGACAGACTGACCTCCCTGCACTCCTTTGAGTTGCTCTTTATTGTAAATTTAGCATTATCTCTTTCTTAGGGGTTGAAATCATCCAACAAATGAGGCATTGACCCTATTCCCAAAAAGCATGCCTTTGTCCTGGAGACATGAGCTCCAGTTTGCAGATATCTCTGGGGTTGAGGAGTAATTCGCAGGGGCCTAATCGTGATCGAATGGCTTCCATAAAATACCAGTATCTATAAGGTACTGTTTATTGAATTGTTGTTTGTCTCACAGGACGTTTCTCAGGGGGGATCTTCAAATGCCTAACAATCCAAAATAAAGCCATCTGTCCTCCCTTAACTCATAAAGCCTACAGCATTAACCCAGGTCCTAAATAGAGTTAGGAATTAAGTGAGCCCCCAGGACCACTTGAGCATGAATAACCACGCCAGAGCTGATTCCACAGGTATTCCATTTATTGCTTATGGCCCCAAATCATGTTTTAAGCTTCTCTGCACTCCTGAGATGATATACCCTATGCTTGCCAAAGATGCTGTCTAGTGTGTAGGGGCTGGAATTAGCTCAGAATTATCAGTAATTCCCATAATGTCTTTCATTTTCAAAACAAATGGAGGGGAGTGTTGATGCAAATGAAGACAAATTCAGGAAAAAAATTGGAAAAATATGGAAATTACAGAGTAAAATGTAAAATGTCTAATCATAGATCATTATTCAAAAGAATAGAAAATCCATATCTAAGCAATATGAAAACTAGGACAGTATATTTTAACAAAGAAAGTAAGACAATGAGATAATGTAACATATAGATGCATATATCATATGCATCATATTTATGGTTTATTATTGAATCTATCAAAAAGCTGAATAAGGGAAAAGACAAAATCATAGAACACTTTGAAATGAAATATTCAGTCCTCATTTTCTAAAATATAGTTGCAATTAAAATTGAATACGTACATAAAAAGCATATAAATACAGCACAGTTTCCTGATCTGAATTTCAACTTGAAAAGAACATTTATATTCTAAGTTTTCTAGAAAAGATAAGAGTGAATGGCAGTTCTTTCATAAATAAAGCAGCGAAAGCATGTGATTTATCTCAAGGCTGTCCCCAGCAAAGGCATGCTGTCAGGTATTGAGAGGGACATACCAGAAAGCAGTAAGACAATGCCAACTGAAGGTAAGTAGATGAAGGGGAATGGAGTCAGTAAGTAGAGTCCTGGAGTTAGCTAGTCACTCCTTGGCCCAGTGGGCCTTGAAGATCTGTTCTTAGTGACCACATTTCATTAGGCAAATGCTGTCATTGATAACAGTGTTCTTTCTTCCCCAACTGAAAGCAGCAAAAGGATTCTGAGCCAATGTCTTACATCGTTAATTGGCAAGATCCCCTTTTCCTTCAATGGTTGCCTCAGTGCTTCCAATGTTTCCCTGTAGTGAATTGGACTCGGCTCAACTACCAAACTGAAGTCCAAGGATCATCAACATTGGCTTCCTATGTGAAAAGGAAGAATCCCTATACTATTTGGACCACTGGGATTTTGAATGGCTTTAGGATGCATATTCTCAGAGCTCTTTTGCTGGGGGGGGGTGTGCTTTCTTTACCTGCAGAAATCAAAGATATCTACCTATGAGAAGATGTGGGCATTTATGAGCAGCAGGCAGCAGACAGCCCTGGTAAAAAACAGTGATGAAGGGATCCAACGAGTACTCACCACTGACTATGCCCTATTGATGGAGTCCACCAGCATTGAGTATGTGACGCAGAGAAATTGCAACCTCACTCAGATTGGGGGCCTCATTGACTCCAAAGGTTATGGAGTGGGAACACCTATCGGTAAGAGAGGCAAGGCATCAGCCAAGACTGAGATGGGCAATGTCAATTATGAAGGATAGAAGGGAATAAACTCAGAGATACCTACTCCACACTCTGAGAAGTCCTACAATGCCTTTAGTGGACCAATAAATAAGGGAAATACTCATGTAGATCAGAGGCATGTTTTGAATTGACCATTCCCAGATATTTAACTTAATAAACTTTCAATCCACATTTCTTTTGAGTTCTGCCACTAGATATTTGTTTGAATATATAGACTGTATTATTTTCACCTTCAAAAAATATTTTTTTAGACAAGGAACAACTCTTCCCTTTATTTATATAAATTTTTTAATTAATTTATTTATTTGGGAAGGGGGGTGGAGGTGCAGAAAGAGAGGGAGAGAGAGAATCCCAAGCAGGCTCCAAGATGTCAGTGCAGAGCTTGACACGGGGCTCAAACCAACAAACAGTGAGATCATTACATGAGCTGAAATCAAGAGTCAGATGCTCAACAGACAGAGCCAGCCAGGTGCCCTGCTCAAAAAATATCTTTAAAAGAAAATCTTCCTGATTAATCCTCTTGACATTATTTCCTTCAGTACCTATACATGCCTATATAATTTTTCTATCTTAAATTATATTAGAATATAATGAAATTAATTATGCATGTAGATGATAAAAATTGAAAGGCTAAAGTTCCATGTCAATAGAAGTAAAATGAAAACTATATCTATAAAAGAAAAAAGTTAAAGATTAACTTATAGTTTTTTTCTGGCAATGTGTTAGATACAGTCAAGGATAACTAAAACCTCCAAATATTCCTATTTCTACATTTTGTGCTACTGCTTTCTCTAGGGATATTATTGCCTTGTCGGCATACAGACACATACAGCAAGGTTTTCTTGTGTGTCTAACATATAGAACTATATTCTATGCTTAAAGGACGATTATGGATTCCTCTCTATAGAAAAGTGTATTGGATAATGTTCGGGAATGGTGGTAATATGCTTTTCTTGAATGAGTCATTAGTAATTTTGTGATAAGCATTCCAAATTTTTTTTAATGTTTACCTTATTTTTGAGAGAGACAGTATGAGTGGAGAAGGGAAGAGTGAGGGGGGAGACAAAAGATCAAAGCAGGCTCCAGACTCTGAGCTGTCAGCACAGAGCCCAACGTGGGGTTCAAGCCCACAAACCGTGAGATCATGACCTGAGCCAAAGTCAGATGCTTAACCAACGGAGCCACCCAGGTGCCCCATGATAAACATTCCAAAGAAGAGGAATCAGAGGCCATCTTAGACCACCGGGCTAGTCTAATAAGCAGAAATCTTGGTTACAGTCAAGTCATATGTCATATTATAAAGAATCCAAGGTAGATTAGATGTGCTTGTTTATAGATAGTATAATTTTTGTTTTTTGAAAGGGATTGTCCAGTCCAACCCTCAACATTAGACAGGGATCAAAAATTCAAATGCTTACAGAGGCCAAGCAGATATTATAATTGAATAAGCTTGTTTGCTTGAGGAAGCAATAGGGAATGTAGCAACTTTGGAAAATTAGAGACCGCATGACACATCTAAAGGGGGCACCTGCCTTCTAGGTTAGTCAATTGCACGTGTGAGAATTTGAACACAAGTATGTAGATATTCCATTTTTCATTAAAAAAAAAACCCAGATTTTAGGGGTGCCTGGGTGGCTCAGTTGGTTAAGCATCCGACACAGGTCATGATCTCATGGTTTGTGAAGTCAGGCCCTGTAGTGGGGATTCTCTTGGGATTCTCTGTCTCTCTCCCTTTCTCTCTGCCCCTCCTGCTCTCTTTCTCTGTCTCTCTCAAAATAAACAAACTTAAAAAAATGAATTGAAAAACTTAAAATTTCGGATTTTAAGTGGACTGTCCTAATATTAGGACATTTAGCCACAAATTCATTAAAAAAAGAGAGACTAGGTATCCCATATTCAGCTTTTGATCAGTATTAATTTAATTAACCAGATAAAGATCAACTTTCTTTACATTTCAGCATGAATACAAACCATTTTACTCCCTGCTATCTGGTGTTAGAAATGTATGTTACGGAGAAATTAACTCTATTATTGTTACTAAGAATGTATTCCAAATAAATCTGCAGAATGATTTAGCTAAGGAAACTATAATACTTTCTTGTCTCTTTCTTTTCAATAACTTTCCCTGATGACAGTACTAATACTGCTAGTAAAGTGTATATTTGTGTTTCCCCAACTGGAAAACTCTCCTGTGATTAAGCCAACATGTTCTGCAGGGGACTCAGTGGGATTGTTAGACATTAATTAAAAGAATACCGTGACTCTTTTTGAAAAAAGTCTATTTCCCAACCAAGCTTTGTCACCTCATTTTTGATAACATGGGTGGGGGGAGTGAGGCAAATGCTATTTTTATATATTCCATAACTGCTGCCTTCAGGTAAATGGGCTGATAAATGGATAAGTCAGACAAAAACACGAGGAGTGGGTGCTTTTGCCCAAATCTCTCCAAATCAAGACCTTAAGACTGATTGCATTATATTCTGCATCTTCTCAGAGCAGTAATTGTGGTCTCCACCTAGAATTATGTTTAGATTAAATTATAGAGTTGAAAACCGCACTTTTCTCATTTTGTCTTCCACCCCAGAAGCCCACCTGACCACCTTTCAACTAGGCCTTGCTCACCAGATTTCCTGTCTGGCAATAATGATGGAAAATAACAATGGGTCTCACTCCTCCTGAGAATATTTGTACTTTACCATGAGACTTTTCATGGGCATTTCTTCCAATGAACAGAATATAACACTACGGTTAAAATTTGGGGGTAGGGCAAATAGAAAGGAAGCAAGGGACTTCTTTCTGCAACAGTCCTGAATCAATGCAGCAATTTAAAAATTACTCTGGCCTCCTGTAAATGAGGCTGACCCTCTGATGAGTATCACTGTATTTGATATGATATGATATGATATGATATGATATGATATGATATAGAGATTTGAATGTTCCAACTCAGTCTACTTTTTGCCAATCTCACCCATACTCTGACACACAAGATCCAAAGTTGAAGAGCCTTCCCCCCTCCCTAGATAAAGAGAAATACACTCCAGGAATTTTTCATACTGGTTATAAACCTGTCAGGCTTTTAAACCAAAAACAATGAAGGAATAATTGGAACAGATGGCAGACCTCAGAGAGAATACATCCCTTGGGAATACAGCTGTTGGATAAATTTGTGAGATGCTTCTTCTATGATGAATTGACTCTTTAAGAAAGCTCAGTTGCTATTCGGGAAGATCTGTGTGTGTGTGTGTGTATATATATATATATATATATATATATATATATATATATATATGTTTTTTCAAGTGACTTGTCATAAATCACTTCTCATGTCACTCAGTCCACTTAAGTAACAACAACAAAGAATGAAGCTAAAATATATTCAGATACAAAAAGTTCTCCACACACTTCAGTTCTTGCTCTCACTGACTCCCTGAAGGCTTCAGACTTTTTCCCATGGTCAAAGGTTGGCAAAGTCAGCTCAGTCACGACACAAGATTGAAGCCTTTGCTTCTTTGAGACTCTCAGGACAAAAGTTCTGGAAATGTGCTTCCTGAGGGATTTGAAATAAAGCTTCAAGAGTATGAGAGCAGTTATGGCTTAAACAGGTTACCAGGAGGCTGGAAATTACCCTCCTTAGAGAATAACTTTAAACGGAGATCCGATCCCCATCTGTCTGAATGTTTCAGGTATTGTGCAGCCTGAAGGCAGAAGGGGAGCACCAGTCAACATTTACTGAGGGCCCACTGTGCATACTGCTAGGATTACAGTGGCAACCCCTACCGTAAGAATCATTCTTAGGCTCTTCAAAGCATTTTATTATACATTAAAGCAAAGCTCTCCTGGTTTCACTTAATTGCTCACATGCTATGGGTATGTTAATGGTGCTAATTTTGACACTAACCATTATTCTGGGGGTGTTTAAGCAAGCGGCAAATATCTTTTAATTTGGTTTACAAGAGCCATTGTCTCACCAAAAATCCATTCTTTTAATTGACAAGCCACAATCTAACTCCAAAACATTTTGCTCTTCTTTTAAACTTGATTTTGACTACTGACAATGACTTTAGGAAGTCTTGGGAGGAAAGAAAGAAAAATGACAAATGCCACAATGTGAACCTTCTGTTTTTCCAACATAAAATATGCCATGGAACATAAGGTTTGTGTATGTGGAGGTTGAAGGCAGGAAGGGGGGCAGGCTGTGGAGTAGAGAAAACAGCTTTCCTGGAAATAACACTAGGTAAGAAGTAAGAGGAAATGAGTTAAATCCTTGCCTCTGCCAGTAACTAGTACTTTTACTCATGCTTTCACATCCTAAATTTCTTGGAGTCTAAAATACGTGGACTGGACTATATGATTTCTAGATCTCTTTTGGTTCTAAGATGACACATTTTTCTACTTCCTATTTTATCTTTTGCATTTTTTTTAAATTTCTACCAAAAAAGAACTTTAGAGTTTGCAAACAGAAAGAGCCAAGGTGTACTACCTTCCTAATGAGTAGAAGAAATGCTAACGAAAATTCTTAACATCCAAGGAAAAATTGAGTAAATGCATCTCACCATCTTTTAATCTCTTCCTTTGCATTAACTGGCATAGGAATCCAGTACTGGGCAAGCTATGGCTACAGACAGATGTCAGTACTTTTGACATAATTAAAAGTTTGATGACATTACTAGAAGTTTGAGTACAAAAATATCAATGAAGTCCTTGCAAATTTTCCAAACCTAACTGAATTTTGTAGAACCTTTGAAGTATCCAAAACCTAATCTTAATGGCATATTACTAAGTGTATTAGTCAGTATGGGCTAATTACTGTAACCAACATTTACTATTTTCAAATGGCTTACACAGTAAATGTTTCTTGACCTTGTCATGGTCCGACGTGGACTGAAAGAGAGACTTCTTCATGTAGTCATCCTGGGACCCAAACTCCTTCCAGTTGGTGGTTCCACTATCCCTAGTGACTTGAAGTCCTTTCCTTCCTACTGAATATTTGGGGAAAGGGAGAGAGAAACTAGAGAATCATGTTGGGAGAATGTGAAATAGGACTGGAAATAGTCCTATGTCACTTCAGCTCCTAATGGCTGGAAACTGATCACATCACCATACTGAATGAATTGTAAGGAAGACTGGGAAATGTCTAGCTGCTGCCCTAGGAAGAAGACAAGATGGTACAGGTGTTCATCTAGCCAGACTGTCAAAATATTAAACAACTGAGAAAAAATGGAATCTGAACAACGAAATCCCCCGACGTGGGGAGAGATTTATGAAAAACTCACCAGAAGCAAGCGTATGTCACAGAATCCCCAGCTCAGCTTTTCCCTGTTTAAAAGGAACAGACAGCCTGGGCAAGAGTTAATCTCAGCATGTCAGCTATCCATTCTCCAATTATGTTGATCTTTCAAAATATAGAATTCAACTTGTGTGCCCTTTGCCAATCAATTTGTGGATTGGGATTTCCCAACAGCCATAAAGTAGTTACCTTTAAGACAATAATCCTTCTTGACATCTTCAACCCTTTGGTGACCAATATCCAAATGACATTCCTTACAGGCTCTCCTTACCGGGATAAAATCACTATCGCTATCCTTCAACTACAAGAGGAGGGCAAACTGCATATGATGAAAGAAAAGTGGTGGCGGGGAAATGGCTGCCCAGAGGAAGACAGCAAAGAGGCCAGTGCTCTGGGAGTAGAAAATATTGGGGGCATATTCATTGTTCTGGCTGCTGGACTGGTCCTCTCTGTATTTGTAGCCATTGGAGAATTTATATACAAATCACGGAAAAACAGTGATATTGAACAGGTGAGTCATCTCTTTCTAGGATTAGGTAGTTTTTAGTTTGTGTTATCTGTCTTAAGTTTGGGGGTTTTAAAGATGTCTGCCCTTTTTGTAACAGTCTATTGAATTAGATGCCCAGAAGAGCCATTTCTGAGTTAGAGCAAAGAGCTCTTGAATCCCTGCCAGGTGCTGCTGGCACTGCGGTGCCATCATTTATTAATGAGAAGAAGGAAGCGCCTTATATACTAAATCCAATTAGCCCTATTTGGAACAGCAGTGCAGAAATTCCAAACCCAGTTAATTTCTTGAACAGTTATTTGCTCTTAAGATAGAAATCCTCGATAAAGCAGGCAAGAAATAAATCCAAAATTGGAAAAGATATAAAAAGATCTTTGAGAGAAATGTTACCATCCTTTCTGGAAGTGTGGATGCTGAGCACATGTATGAATGCAAAGCAATTTACATAAAGATATAAATGCAGTATTTTGAAACTGAGCATTTACCTCTCCCAAAACATGATCTATAAAAAGGTAATTCATCAGGATTTTTTGGTCAGGAATATGATAAATAACACAGAATGACAATGAAATATATTAGAGACTTTATTTTTCCAGATTGTATTTAGGATCACAGTTGATTTCAACAGTCAACCATTTTTGCCTGTCACTTTTATTTTTGATGGAAATCACACCAGGAGCTCCTACCATTCTGTATAAGATGATTATATTAAAGATAATTCTTTCATAAGCATACTAGAATAAACAAAGTACAAACCTCATGCCCATCATAGTGCATTAGACCACCCATTCAATTTAAAATTATTGTTAGAATTCTGAGACTATAAACTATTAATAACATGGCTAGTTTAATGCTCAGCTGTCACTGTCTTGAAATTACTAATCATTTTTAAACAAGGGGTTCCACATTTTCCCTTTGTATTGGGCCCCACAAATTATGTAGCCAGTTCTGATTAATAATTTCACACCAGTCCCACCTCCTTTAAGTGGAAACTCTCTTTCAGCTCCCAAAGCTGGGGATGATTGATTATAACTTGGTTTTATCATGATAATTTTCCCAAAATTACAAGGCAATTGTGAGAACATTAAACGCCCCTTTTTTAGATTTTTTTAGAGAAAACTATCTTTACTTAAAAGGGAAAATGGACTGTTCTGCTTTGTTTTAACTTTCAATTTGCTCTTGAGGTGTCTTGTTTTATGCAACTAACTTGAAAAATAAAAGCTTGTATATGTTATGCTTTTAATGTGCTTCTCATAATTGCCAGCTTCATTTGATTTAAATTTTCATTTAAACATTCATTTTTGCTTCTGATTTATTCATTTTTTTCTATATTTTTTTCTCATTTCTTTTTGCATGCAAGGCTTTTTGTTTCTTTTATGGACTGAAGTGTAAACAAACCCATCCAACCAACTCCACTTCTGGAACCACTTTATCTACGGATTTAGAATGTGGCAAATTAATTCGAGAGGAGAGAGGGATTCGGACACAGTCCTCAGTTCACACTGTGTAATCAGTTAAAAAAAAAAAAAAAGTGTGCCCAGTAGAAATTGTTTCTGCTAATTGGTATTGTTGATGATATCTGTATCTTTTAAGCATAAATAGCCATAATTCTTTATCCTGTCAAGGTAGCAAAACTCATGGACTCTAGACACTGAATTCAATGCACTGAAAACAGATGCACATTCTGTGTTGAAACCGAGGTGTATTAGGGGCATATAAACTTCAATATATGTGTATTTTCCAGAATCTGCTATACCATCAAGATAACGGTTATCTTAGTTCTATATTTATGTGTTAAAAATAAGCAAGTCTTTCTTCATGAAAAAATAGATGTAGATTTTCAACAGTGCAAAGCATAAAAACAAAATGCTAGTATGGTGGAATTCTTTTTTATCTTTGTGGACCTTTTGTTTTTCTTTTTTTTTTTAAACTCCTGTTTCCCTCTCCCTGTCCCTTCTGTTCTATGTAGATCCACATATTCAAACTACCCGAAACCCTAACTTTTGGTAGTAAGTCCATAACAACGTTGACGTTCAACTCAAATTGATTCCACTATTTAAAATGTATTATTTACACAAAGACTCAAGGTGTCTTGTATTTTAAAAATTGAAAAACGTGATCCAGAAAATGGAAACTAAACTTGAACCCTCTGGCGTCACAGAAGAGCATTAGCTATGCTGAACTTCACTCAGAAAGGCACAACTCAGTCGAAAATGATTCTTGGGTCGAAATTCATTAACATCAAGCTCTCACGTAACATTTACCTGACAACCCTCTGTACGTTCAGATCATAGTATGTTCAGAGTCTCCAAGGAACTGTGGTTTTTTTCATGCTGCAGACTATTTCTTGCAAGCTCCAGACAAACTCCTAAACTAGGAACTAACACATAGCATCTTCTATTTTCCACTGACTCACTTTCACTATGCATTGACGAACATCTTTTCACAAGATGTAATTTTATTCCTTTCCTACTCACCCAGCATAGAGTGGTTGTTCTCCTCACAATCTTTTCTGAGCATTAACACTTTCACACTCATTTCTTTGGATGCTTTGTCATTATCAATTCACTCCAAGTATATTAGGGAGAAGGGCAAGGAGGAGAAAATAAATAGAGGAAAGAATTTCCATACACATTAGTTACAGATCTCTAGATTTATTTTCCACCTGCATTCAAAATGTTGTAAATAATTCCCACTCTAACTCAGCTTGGTGGCATAAGAAACCAACTGCATACTTAATTTGTTGTGATGGAGGATGTCTGCCTGCCCTCTGAGCTTCTTTTCCTCTTCACAGTGCATAGGGGAATTGAGGATGCCTTTCATCTTCCCCCAGCATGGGATCAGTTGGTCTTTGTTCTCCTTAATGGGATTACCTTTTGACATGTGAAGTTAGCCCCAAAACATATTTCTCAGAATTAAAGATAAGCCATCTGTGCAATCATGTAGCATTTTGCCTTCTCTTTGCTTAGCTTTAAATGGGTTCCAATTTTTGAACCACAGGTCCCTCCAGTCAAAACTATATTTCTCCAGTAACGCATGTATAGGAAAGTTGACTCCTGCCCTGATTTTCTCAGTCTTGCTTTCTTCTTTAAATAAATGTGCTTTTAAGAAAATATCTCTAAATTACACTAACATTTATCTACTGTTATTAAAGTGAAAGCAGCACACTTTGTCCTGGGTCAGAGTTTACATCTTCATAATCAATAGAGGCAAACATTGGAGTATTTTAGTATTCAGAATTTATTGATTCTGTATGTGGAAACCACAAATTACATGAGTTTATCTTCCCAAGGACTATTTAATAAATCAAAGATGCTACCAAAAAAGTTCAAGGGTGATTGATGAAGTTGAGATGATCAAGGGGTTAGCGATAACAAAATCTGCTTTTCTACAGAGACTCTCCTTTGAAAGTGTAATTCAGAGTCTGGGTAAACTTAATAGTTGTGTGCCACTTTAAGATGTATACTACCTATTTCTGATATTTATATCTTATTTTACAGTTTTCAAAATGTTTTGAAATGATACAGCATTACATTTAATCCATTCAACAATTTTATTTCAGCTTTACTAACAGAGAAATAAGCAGTCAGCAACCTGGAGTCCTAGAATTTAGAATTATAGGAGAATTTTCAAAATCAACCAAACTTAGGTGCAGGTTCCAGTACAGCCACATGCTGAATCACAGTAGACAAGTGACTGCATTTCTCAGAGCCTTTGTTTCTTAGTAGGTAATATTAGGACATAATTTCTGGGTCATAAGGTACCATTGACAAGTGTTATTCAAATTAGATTTTCTGGTCAAGGAACCCACGGAACACTACTCTAAACTTTCTTTACGGCATGATATCTCATGATATCTCATTTAACATGTTATGATGCATTGGGAATTTTCAACAAGATTGGAAAGCATTCAGTATTTCCCAAACTTATTAGATAGCAGAATCTGTTTTTCCCCTGAAGTATCTTGACAGACCATTTTCTACAGATCATACTCAGGGAATGCTGGCTTGATGATATGTACCTCATCCAGTGTTATTGTACAAAACACATTAACCATGCCTGGCACATCGTTGCCATTCAGTAAACAATGGTATTGACGATTGGGGGTAGTTTTTAATTTCTCTGAGCCCTAGTTTCCTCATTTGTAAAATGAAGATAATTTGTTGACCTATATTTGCTTTGAGAATTAAATGAAATTCTATAATGGTATTGGAAATAAGATCATTTATAAGAATTCTGTTAATAGATATTGGTTAACAGATATTAGCCCCTTATAGAGAAATTAGGTATTGCTATCTGGTCATGTGGCCAGTAAGTACAATTTATCATGCATCTTAATACACAGTCTGTCTGGAAAAGAGGTTTTCCAATTACAGGTTCAAACTCTCTCTCTAAAACCACTTTTCCTTACACAATCATTAAAAATCAAGGACAAGTTCATTGCACCCCAGGGAAGGACCCAAACTGGCAACACATGAGGATCCAGTAGAAGTCATGAACCTCATCTCTAGAAATTCTTATTTGATTAGTCTGGAAGGAGGGCAGGACAATAGTTTTTTAAGGTAGTCGGTTGATTTTACTGTGCAGTAGTGATCTAAAGCATAATCTTATGTGTGTAATCAGCATTCAATAATTCATTGATGTCTGTTGATTGATTCCAGAGGTACGACCACTAATTCTAAGCCAAGATATACTCACATATTTGGCATTCAATATTCAATAAACCCTTTATAGAGAGAGTTCAAAAAGAAACTGCACATCTTTGAGATAAAAATTTCACTATATTCAATTGATGACCTTCATGTTTAGTTATAGTTGCTAGACCTACTCAAAATGATCAAATAGGTAGTTTAATTGGTCTCTGTGCCCTTTTTTCCCTTGAAGAACTTCTATTCATTTCAGAAACCAAGGCTCCTTACACTTCTTTTTCTTTTTATACATGCCCTGGACAACCAATACTTGACATCAAGTAAATGACTGCTGAAACGACAGTGACTCCACCAGGGGCCATTGCATTTTAAGTGAAATTTAGAAAAAAAGAACCTTGAACATGAAAGAAAAAATTCCAAACTCTGTTTTTTTTGTCATTAGTTCTCAGAACTTTGGTGTACCTCAGAATCAACCGGGGAAATTATTTAAAATATGGATTATAGGTTCTACCTCCATAGATTGCTTCTCAGTGAGTGTAATCCAGGAATTGGTGACTTTTTAACAAAATCTGAAAGCGAATGCTTAAAATTAGTTGTAGACATTAGTTTCCATAAAAAAAAAATAGCTTCAATATAGCAGTTTTCTCCAAAATTAGGTCATGTACATGAGTTTTTTTAGTACAAGGGATTTTTTAAAAATACCTTTCCTTACATGAGCTTTTTTCCCCCCAACAATCTTAAATACAGCTGTTTTACTTTAAAACTTTGGTAAGCATGAGTTTTCTTTAAAGCTAGATGGAACACAGCAATTTGACTTCAAGTTAAGTGGTGAGGGTGAGATTTTATTAACATTGGCAGGTTATCTGTGGCTTATACTTTGAGGAATACTGTTTAAAGTTAGCAAGAGAGCAGAGAGGTGTTTGAAAAGATTGAACAGTGCATCGACAACTATGGAGCATCTAACGCTGTCTAATCCAATTCCTGACAAGCCTGCTTATAATCCAATGCAATAAGGAAAAAAATAAAGTTTATTTTGTCTTAGACTAAAATTAGAAATTGAATTATTTTAGAGTTTTTCCAGCAAAACTGCAACTACCTGAGGACACATGGTGGGTAGAGATCATGCCCTTAGGAAAATCAGCTGGATTATATAGTTATAAACTATCCCCCCCCAAAAAATATTTCCAAATACCTCATTACATTTGACTAGCATTATATTATGTTCTATATGAGCCATCTATGGCAAAGCAGCAAAACCATGAATCCCAATTAGTTTCCAAGCCCGTGACCCTTTATACTATAAGGTCTATTTCCCAGTAAGCAATTTAAAAGTAGCCTGAACAGCCTTGAAAAGCAAAAGGAAAGCAAGGCATTCCTACTTCTCGGACTATTTTCTGCACATCTGACTGTGCCAAATGGCATTATTAATTAACTCTTATAGATAATGAAAAATTTCTGCTTGATGCTGCAGTTTTAACTTGCCTTTAGGAACCATCTCATTATGCTTCCCGCAGTTATGGAATTTTATGTCCAGATGCACAGGCATATTAAAATCATTTTTGCTTTCAAAATCCTCTCCGTAGAGACTGATATCATGGAAAATGGGATTCTCCCTTAAATTTTCAAAAAAATTCTACTTACACAGATGAGAACGTTTTGGTGATAAAAGCCCAAATGTTCTATGTGGTTACACCCGCTACAAAATCTGAACTTTGCAGTCGTCAACCCAAATGGGGCTAATTGGCCAAATTGCACAACCCCACCATGTCTCCGTGCTTCAGCGTATACACCCAGAAACACAAAAAGCATGAGTAGGACCTGAGTGATGGAATAGAGTTACTGTCGCTCCTTTATCTACTAAGCTTAAGTTAGCAAAACCAGGATTTTCTTTGTATCCAATTTTTTAACTGAAGTGTTTAGACTTCAAATATTCAGATTTTTCCATTTCAAAAAAAGATTGTTGCCCTGATCAATTTAGTCCTTACCAACCACAGGAACTAAGAAACTACTGTCCCCAGGTAACCTACCCTAATATACAATTATCTTTTTTTAAATTTTTTTAATGTTTATTTATTTTTGAGAGAGAGAGAGAGAGAGACAGGGTGCAAGTAGGAGAGGGGCAGAGAGTGAGAGGGAGACACAGAATCCAAAGCAGGCTCCAGACTCTGAGCTGTCAGCATAGAGCCCATTGTGGGGCTCGAACTCACGAACTGTGAGATCCTGACCTGAGCCAAAGTCAGACACTTAAACTGACTGAGCCACCCAGGTGCCCCTATATGCAATTATCTTAAGTCCTAAGTATCAGTTGGCACATTATCAGATGCTTCCACACGTTCTCATTCATTTCTTCTGTAGTCAGATCACTTTATTTAGCAAGTCATTTGGAGAAATCTCAATCAGGTTATTTCTGTAATTGTACAAAGAGGTTTTCCTTTGCCTGGAAACCCAAACATTCATCAATTCACAGAGAGGCCAGGAAGCAATTAACATCCATTTAGAAATAACTTTTCCAGTGTATAGTGGCAGTGTCTTAAAACCAAACAAATTCTAAAAGGTGTAAATGACTCAACGAAAACAATGACCTGGGAGTCACAAGCCAAGAGTTCAGGTCCTTGTGCTGCTACTGAATAGCTATGTGACTTTGGGCAAGTCGTTGTCCCTCTCTTATTCTCAGTCTCCCCAGCTGTGACATAAAGGGATGACATTTTTTTCTTTTTTTTTTTTTTAAGTTTATCTATTTATTTTGAGAAAGAAACAGAGACAGCGAGCAGGGGAGGGGCAGAGAGAGGGGGAGAGAGAGAGAGAATCCCAAGCAGGCTCCTTGTCAGCACAGAGCTCAATGTGGGGCTGAAACCCACAAACCATGAGATCATGACCTGAGCCAAAATCAAGAGTTGGACACTTAACTGACTGAGTCACCCAGGAGCCCCGAAGGGGTGATATTTAAAGTTCTCTGCAACCACAGTAATTTTTTAAGTTTAATAGAAAGTGGGAAGGAAATAAAAAGAAGGAGGACCAAACAACAACAACAAAAAAGCTTGACCAAATACCAAATACAAATATAAATATGATTGCGCAGTTACCTTAAACATACTAAATTTTTATTGTCATAAACAGAATTACCTTTTCCTGCCAGTGCTGCAGGATGAAATGGTCTACTCTGGATAAAGAGAAAACCGGCCATCATGGCATCAAAGAGTGAAAAAGTTCTCATCCAGTCATAAGCAAAGTGTAACAAACACAGGAAAGGCTATAAAAGTGGACTCATTCTTGACTCTGATGTGCCTACAGAGTAGGTGAAAGAAAGAAAGAAAGAAAGAAAGAAAGAAAGAAAGAAAGAAGAAAGAAAGAAAGAAAGAAAGAAAGAAAGAAAGAAAGAAAGAAAACAAAATAAAACAAACCAACAAGCAAAACAAGACATAGCTAGAAGTTATTCATAGCTATGGAATGGGTTATATTCTCAGTAACAACTCAAGAGAGATGGGGAAACCTATTCTGTAAGTGGAACTTCAGTAATTCTGTTAAAGACAAAGGGAAACAAAGAAAAAGGTTGATGTGCTTTTATTTTCTATTGTTTTTACCCCTATCCTCCTCCACCCTTAAGCATCAATGTTTTTATCTGTACGGCTTCCAAGCCAGAGATGAATCAGACTCTTAGCATTTGAGTTTTAAGTAAACTTCACAGATTTGTAGTATAGACAAAAATCTTGGAAACCATGGCTTTCAGTCTCAAGAACCAGGTGTTTTGTTGAATAGATTAGTTGTTATTCGAAAAGCTTATCTGTAATTAACAAGAGCCAAAACCCAGAGGCCCAAGGTTGTGGAAATACACAAAATAATGATTTCTTCCCTCATGTTCCTATCCCTGACCAGCTTTTGACCACTAGGACAGAAGGGAAGAATGGGAGGGAAGTCATTAAATCTTAGTGGTACTGGAATCCCTGAGAGAAGGCTTCATGGCCATCCATGAGCCAAGTCCCAACTTGAGGACAGGAAAATAGAAACCTCAGAAAAGTTCTGGGAGATCTTGAACAGAAAATGCCATATTGGAGTTTACAGGGTATAGCCCAGGAGATGGGAAAACTTGAGAAAAATCTTACATCCAACTGTTTCCAGAATGGTGCAATAACAATATCTAGGTCATGAACCTATGAACAGCTTCGTAGAGTCCTGCTCAGTCCCAGAGCATCTCAGGGAAAACAGTGAAAACTCCATGGCACTTCTCAATGAAGAGCCTTGCAGAAGGGCTGAACCAGTGGATTGAAAAGTTGAGGTTGGAGTGAGCAAAGACTCAATGTGTAGACCTGACATGGAGACCATAGTGGGGCCACAAGCACCTAGAGGACTCAGCAGAGAAAGTGCAGCACTGATGGCCTCCTAGGATCCAACCCCAGTGGAAGTCAAAGAATGTAGTATGGCCATGGATCAGCTGCTCCCACCATCACCAATGCCCAGACCCTCTATTAAATTTTCCTAAGCCCAGATGCACCTGGGAAAGAAGAGAAGAAGAAGGGAGGAGGGGAGAGGTTCATATTAACTGAGCCATTAACCAAAAGAAACTCAGTTTTAAACAATGAGTGAGTTACATTGAGTTGACAACATCTACTAGTGGATGGGAACCTCTAAGGTGGGATCTGTTGTTATTTTTTTATGGCATCACATGGTTTTCTTGCACACCTAAGTTTATAGCTTGAGAAAAATGTATGTCCGCTACATGTGGGCATAAGATAGTACTGCAAGGACTCCACGGTAGTGCACATATACACTGTGGACACTAAAACCCTCCATCAGGTTCAATTTACCTCAAGGCCAAGGCCATTCTCTATATGAGAAGGGGCATACAAAGAATTTCTTGGAATTATATATTTATGGCCCTAACTCAGCCTCTGAGTTGCAGAAAGGACAGGCCCTCTTCTCCATGTGGTAATGGAAAGTCAGTCCTCATAGTATCATCTCAAGTTCAGCAATGGAGGCCTGCTCAGGTACACATGAGGCCAATAACAGAGGAAGTGTGTAGGCCCTGAGCTTGCACAAGGGGCTAAGGCAGACTTGGGAGATGTAGGGAAGCCAGAGAGAAGCCAGAAGGCCAGAGAAGAAAGTCATGGTGGCCTCTGATGGTGACTCCAGACAGGAGAAAGGCACTGGGAGTACCTTGGATTGGCATACAAACCCACATCTCTGCCATTTTTAAGCAAGGAGGGTTGCTCATCTTAGATATGTCCAGCCCACCTGAAGCTTATCCTTATGGCAGAAACAACTTGCAGCTGTCTAGTCATAATGCTTGGGGGGGACACTCTGCAGCCATCTCTCCAAACTCATCAGCAACTTTTGTGCCCTCCTGGAGCAGGTGAAAGTCTCGTTGCTCTTGAGCACACTTCAGAGGTCATGGGAGACAGTCTCCAACCAGCCTGATGATCAGCTCTGATGATATTTCCGCACTCAGTGACTGCTTCCTCTGAATATGGGACAGAAAGTGGGCACGATTTCCTTGTGTTTTCAGCTCCCTTCATCTATTAAGCTGTCCCCACATCTATTTGCCTTACTTCACCCCATGGGAGTTTGATCCCAAAAGTTGCAAGTGAGGGGCCCCTTCTCTGGTATTCCTCAGCATCTAGGCTGTCCTAGCCCCTGGCTGGATGATTCTCCTTGAAAATAAACACAGAACAGTCCTAGCTTCATACCCCAGCCATAATCTCAGGGGCTGGGCCCTGAAGGCTGGAAGGCAAACTTTTACAATTCAAAGTGCCTTCTTTTTCCTTCTTTCAAACACCTAGCTGTTGTAATTAATAGCTTCAAAGACTGCAGTGGCTTCTATAGATCCACAAAAATCTATTTAAGAACTCAAAGCTGCAAATTTTACTTTTTTTCCTCTTTCTATGTCATCCCTACCCTGAGGGCAATGCATACAAAAGCTCTTGCTATAACTTTAAAAGTGGGAAAAAGGGCTCAGATTCAGAAGATTTGGAAAAGTACATGGATTAATATCAAAATGGAACATTGCTTCAGTGTTAACCTCACTTTTCAAAGTTTTCTATGAAATT